GGGATGTTGATAGCACCATGATCTCGAAGAAAATCCATGCCCAAAATTAGCTCTTTACAGCAGTCTGGCAACAGGACGAAAGTGGCCACGAAGCTAGAATCCCCAATGCGAAGTCGAGCGGTGCATTTACCCGTGGGAATCATCAGCTGACCACCAGCACTCCTTATGTGTGGCCCTGTCCACGGTGTCGTGACCTTTCTAAGGCGGTCGGCGAGTTCTTGTCGCATGATTGAGAAGTCGGCGCCAGTGTCGACCAGTGCTGTAACGTAATGTCCGTCAATGAAAACGCCAAGATCAGCACGTACAACTTCACCGGCATTAGTATTCGTCGTCGTATTCGTCGTGGTTGTCGTCATATCTTCTTGCAATGATAGGAGGAACTTTACGGTGTCTCGACGATTGGCAATCTTGCCCCCGAGGTCGCAGCAGTTAGTTTCCCCGGCGCGGGCTAGGCGAACGGCCTCTGGTGACGTCCGCGTAGCTCTGAGGGAAGTCACGGTGACGCGCAGGAGATGGAGATCGCCAGCGACGCGGTGTAGTTGCTTGGCCAGTCGACAGTTGATCGGCATCGTGGGCAGGACGGTCTTCAGAGCGAAAAGAAGCGGCACGAGAAAAGTTCCCGAAGCCGGAACCGCTATGATGGCAATAGCGAGCAATGTGACCTGGTTCTCCGCAGCGGAAGCAAATAGGTCGACGGTCGGCCATGCGCCACAAGTCAGTTCGGCGAACTGGTGGTCGTCTCAGTGGAATCCCGTTGCCACCAGGGTACGGCCGCAGGTCGTGGCTGGAAGGGTGTCGCCACAAATGACGGTGGAGGACGACGGACCACATCAGCGTAGCTCGCTGGATGTGGCTCAGGATTTGGCGCCAGTGGTGTAACGGCTTGCCTCAACTCCTGGCGGACGATTTCGGCAACAGATGCGACGGGCGGTTGGGTAGGAGGGACGCAGAGGGCCCGAAGTTCCTCACGCAGTATTTCCCTAATCATTGTCGCAGGGAACTTTCACACACGGCAGTGTTCCGAGCTGCAGCACTTACTGCCGTGTGATTCGGCAGGCGGTCAAAGTGTCGGTATCGTTGTCGCAGGTGCGCGCTCGATGACAGTCGCCTCTCTTATGAATTCATCTACTGTTGTAGGTGGATTTCGTACGAGGCCCGCAAACACTGGTTCTTTGACACCTGCATTAGGTGACACACCTTCACCTCGGGCATGTCAGGGTCAGCTCGTCGAAACAGACGGATCATACCCTCTGCGTACATGGTGGCTGTTTCGTTGGTTTTTGTGCGTGAGCCTCAATCAGTTGCTGTGCGCGATCCCGTCGGTCCGTGTTCAAAATGTGGCGAGGAGCTTTCGACGGAAATCTTCCCAAGATTAGAAAGTAGCCTAGTGGTTCTCGTACCACGCGCGAGCGCCATCTTCCAGGGCGAAATATGCACGGCCAGTCTGTGCTGTTCGTTCCAGTGGTTAGATACAGCGACCCGTTCGAATTGTTTGAGCCAGTCCTCGACATCCTCATACTCTTCCCATGGAAAACTTCAGGAACGCGAGGATGTTCAAGAGTCACCTGGGAGGGAAGAGTGTCTGCGATGGAAGGGTAGCTGTGGATGGGTAGGAGCTGCCATGCTGGTTAGAGGCGGAACAGGTACGGACTCCGTACTTAGGCCTAGTAGGCGCCGACTGAATCGGTGCACCGGAGTCATGACGAGGGGCTGGGTCTCTGGACTAGGTGAACGGGTCCGAGCAAGACTGTCCTGCATCCGGTTGTAGGCTCCAGCCACCTCCACCAGTGTCACGACGTCAAAACAGACGTCTTGTCGTAGAGACTGAGACACCAGAAGCAGGTCGATCTTTGTTAATTAGAACGCGCAAGCGAGTTCTTCTTCTTCGTCCATTTCGTAGTCCTTAGTGGCACATGCACAACTGTCATCGTCTTTCTTGGCAAGCCGTGACAAAATTATAGTACAGCACGTGGCCTGGAATTCACAATAAATTCTCAGCTAAAACATTGCTCTCTCTCCTCTTGAAGAATACTACTATGAACACAAAAAATCATCGCGTCATAGGCCAAGGTATCACGCCATTGGCTGATTTGAGCATGGTGCGCTTGGAAGTTACCGGGGCCTCTGCAAAAGGCCGCAACGTGTCTGCGCACGTGCACGATCGCACTGAAAAGCCACACGTTCGAAGAAAAAACAAAGAAAAGAGCTCGACATCATGAGGAATGCTTAATCTTTGCAACTCCTCTCGTACTGTACGGATTCTAAAAAGCCATTACATGGCTACTTGGAAAAGTGTTGCAGGGCCTCTAAACAGTACCGGGAAAATGTTGAGGCTGGTCGAGTTTTTTGGCGCAATGTGGCGCAATATCAATAAATTTAAGCTTTTACTCAGCTTGGTGCGACAATGAGAAATTGTATCCAATTGGCACAGCTTTTGCATCCTTGGCACAGTCACAAAAAAAAAAAAATAAATGGCAGATTCCACATAAAGTGGGAATCGATGATAGGCGAAGCATGAATTCGGAAGGTTGATATGTCACTTTAAAGTCACCACAACATTATGAGGCGCATGGATGTTGTAAACAGAAGTGAGAGTGTTATGTGCACTTACGTATTTAGATAAGATGCAAAGATATTATTATAGTCGTGTAACTTAGGCACCACAAACGTTTGTGATACCAGCCCAAGCAGTGGTAGGCATGTAATTATGCCGCACATGACTTCCTTGCCACGATTATCATGTTTGTGCCTGGGATTTGTGTTCATTGTCGATTCACGTCACGTAATGCCAAATTTGGTATATGTGAAGCTAGAAAAATGACCGCGAGCGGCGCTATGACCGTAGCATGTAGTCATGTTTTACATGACACTAATTCTTGATTAGCATGTTTGGATGTGTCACTTTTGTCATCCATTCACATCATGTAATAGCAAATTCAATAAATGTGAAGCTAGCGAAAAGGCCACGTGTGCATCATGAGCATGGCATGTGGTCATGTTCTTACATCACACACGTCATGATTATCATGTTTGCACCAGTAATTTACCTTGGTCATCAATTCACGTCATGTAATACCAAATTTGGTATATGTGAAGCTAGTGAAATGGCCGCGAGCGCGCTTTGAGTGTAGCATGTAGTCATGTTTTACACGACACGAATGTCATGATTATCATGTTTCGAAGTATCATTTACCTTCATCGTCCGTTCGTGTCACATAATACCAAATTTAATATATGTGAAGGTAGCGAACGGCCACAAGCGCATCGTGAGTGTGGCATGTAGTCATGTTCTTACATGACAACCATGTCATGATTATCGTATTTGCCACCACTCATATACCTTCGTCATCAATTCACGTCCACATAATACCAAACTTTGTATATGGGAAGTTAATTGATTGATTGATTTTTGGTGTTTAAACGTCCCAAAACCACCATATGATTATGAGAGACGCCGTAGTGGAGGGCTACGGAAATTTCGACCACCAGGGGTTCTTTAACGTGCACCCAAATCTGAGCACACGGGCCTACAAACATTTCTGCCTCCATCGGAAATGCAGCCGCCGCAGCCGGGATTCGATCCCGCGACCTACAGGTCAGCAGCCGAGTACCTTAGCCACTAGACCACCGCGGCGGGGCTATATGTGAGCTAGGAAAATGACCGCGAGCGCACCATATGTGTATGCATGTAGGTCATGACTTGCATGACGATTTCCATATTAGGGCCTGCACTCATGTTCGCCATACAGTGACGTCATACCATTCCAGTTTTGCAATATGTCATGTGAACAAAACCACCACAAAAGCAGCAAGACTAGGACATGTAAATCATGACATTCATATGATTTTTATGTTATGACTAGCCATTTATGCTCTTCATACAGTCATGTTATGTCAAAAATTTCGGTATAGATCCCATCATCTAACGCCAGGACAGCTAACAGTCGTAGGCGGCTAGATAGATAGATACATAGATGGATAATAGATAGATAGATACGCTCAAAGTTGCTGAAGTTTGCCAAGAAATGCTTCACATTAAAAAAACATGCTGTAGCCTTATCAAATGATCATCAAATGCACTCTTTGGTGTGCGGCAATGCCTCGCACATGCATGGAACCTTTTGTCCCGCATAATCTTAGATTTAGCCTTCCACCCTGTCCTCTCCACACCTTGACATTCAGGTGTATCTGAAATACATTTTGGCTTGCAGAGTATTTGAGTTGATCTTCTCCCTATGAGCTACAAACTGCACGAGAAAATTAAAAGGGCCAATTTGTTGTTGCTCGCCGGTTAGTGAAGTGAAAAACACAGCGCCCGATGACTTCGTTATATTGTATGGAAGGGTGCTGCACATTAACTAGTGTTTTCACATTACGTGTATGCAGAATGCAACACTGCAGTGAAGATACAACTCGCGACCTGCTGCTCAGACATGCCTGGAACGAAACAGCCAGTGATTCATTGCAGCAGCACAATAATTCGACGCAACAATGAATAGTTCCATCTACAAACTAAGGAAAGGTTTAAGTTTGCAGAACTCAGTTTCTCTACATTTTCAGTGGAATAAGGAGGCACACGTGTTTAGCCCACAGGAGCAACACTCTCTTTTGATGCTGGCTCACAGTAATTAGGGCGTTGGGGCAGCTAGAAGTGGGCAGGTTCAAACAACTTAAAATTTTGACAAACATAGTACATACATAATATTACATGCATGCCAGCACACACACATGCACACTGATGTTATACCCTATACACCGCTTGGGTTATGTGCCAGCCTTAGTGGGGTAGATTTTTCACTGAATTATTCCATCAGTTAAATTAAAAATACTAATTCACATGCCAAGAGAACAATTATAGTATTAGAAAAAAGAAAAATTTTCGCACCTAGAATATAGAACTTAGTGAAGTTGGCAACAACTACATTATATCAAGGTCACATAGTGCTTATAAAATCTATTTAATCAGAAGCATTTAGTAATAACACATGGGACACAACAAGCAGTATTTTGAAACTTGCTTTATTTAATGTAAAATGGAGTCATTGAAGACTAACATCAAACTTGCCAAATGAGGTTAGTAAAGGTGTTGTCTCATACTTAAACCTTGAAAGGGTAGTACTTGTGACTGCTGATCCTGCACACACAAAAGAAAAAATAAAGTACAGACAAAAATTAAAAAAAAAAAAAGCTGTGAAACAAGCCACGCGAGATCACATACTTGAATGCTGCACTTTCAAAACTATATCCTGCAAGCCTGCAGTAATAGCCAAGTGAAAAAGCGTGGGAGTGCAGGTGGCAGCTTCAATGATAGCTTCTACAGAACTTGGTGCATACCGTTGGCATCATTTACACAAAATAATTATATGTTTAAGTCGCCAATTATTAAAATTTAGTAGTTGAGTAGAGTAGAAAACAATACTTAAATGTGTGTAAAGGTACTAATTGTAGTCAGAAAAGAATCTTGTTGATTAAACTATACTTGAGACAAGTACTTTGTCATCCTACTTTATTGAAAAAAAATTCACCTTTAACCCACTAAGGCACAGATGTAAATGAACTACAAATACTCGCAATGCCCATAGACTGTCGCGCCGCCAAGCAGAATTTGGGAGCATCCTCTGAGAATGCAGCAAGCAGACGCTCCCTTGTTCCACTGTGCTAGCCTCACTGTTACCCCGTTAGCAAGAAATAAACACTAGCACTTTGGATGTTTCCCCCATCAATAAACAAATCGGAACATCCATGATACAATAAAATCTAATTCGTTCTTGCACCACACGAAGTTGAAAATACGTGGCGACCGCGCTTTCGATGATAGCCCTTAGTAGAATACACATATCAGCTTTGTGAAATTTTCTGTAGCCACGTAGGTTAGTTAATATCGCCTGACCGATTTAGTCAAACTCAACATGTTTTACTTGTATATTGCATTTGTCAGTGCTCTTGTAGTGCATGAATCCCATTCATTGTACGAGGGAAGTTGCGTGGGCTCGCACTTTGCAGTCTCAAATTGGCCAGCGCTGCGCAGCTTGTGACAGGTTGGCGAAATGTTCTCTGTGCAGTGTGGTGACGCAATGTTGTTGGTGTTGTCAAGTTTTTCGGCAGGAGGAAATTTATCGGATCGCTTGCAGCAGTAATGTTGAAAAAACGTGGTTTTAATGATGTTACATGTAACCAATTACTGTGGATATTATGGAGCGCCGCATGCTGCCAACATACTCGAGCTCGACCAATGAAGCGAAATGATAAGAGCGATGAAACGTGCAGTTATGGATGCAATTCACTCATCTCAACTTCTCTGAACTACCGGTACCTTCCGAACGGCGATTTTGTTCAACGAATTTTTGCAATTACGAAGTTCCGAAAAGCATACGTGCGTACTCTTTCCGATATTCAATTTCGATTGTGCCGATCGAACCTTCAACATCCGAGTGCAGTGAATGACGCACCGCTAGAGTCTGAGCATGGCTGTGACACAGGTGCTATTTATTCAGAAGTTGCTTGCGCTCAGTTGAGAAAGCATCTCTATGTTTTTGACAGCACAAGTAATGAGGACAGCATAATATGTTTGCAAGCCATCACCACGTTAAACATTTGGTCCCGTGCAGCAGCGATGACACTACTGGCTAGCTGCCTGCTGCGGCAAGTCCGTCAGGCAGGCTCTGTACATACTACCTCGAAACGCCGTCAGTTCATATGTAAACTCAAGTTTGTGCAGTTTTCTGTAGCAAACACAGAATGTTGCAAAGCATCGTTCATGCACGGTAATGGAGCTGAAAATTATTCTCACATTGCGGCAAATAATCAGGTGGCCAGCTTTCATGGTTTTGGAAAGTATCTTGGTCTCATATATATTTCAGTGCTGCTCATGACTTTATTCGGTGGAAGTAGCACGGTTCGTACGTTCACTTGTTCTATATGTTCCTATGCTAACAAAACGAGTTAACCATCCTCCAGGAGCCACCTTGAATCGTACAGCGTGCCATCTACAGTTCGTGGGCATCCCAAATATTTTTCTGAACGTTTTACAAACTAGCATCATTTTGAAAATTTTTTCATTGACTGCACCAGTCTTGTGAACCCCCCAGCTACAACTTGTAAGCTTCAGCACATGCCATAAGTAAGTAGTTAAAATTTAATTCGTGAATTATAGTCATTATTATCATCCAGTTTCTCATGAAAGTAATGTCTGCTTCTTTGAGCAATCAAGCTCAAGAACTTGAATTGTGTGATAAAATTAAAAAAGTATAGAAATGGCACATTCACTCGTGCACACACACTCACATTCGTGCAGCCAAAATGCCTAGTATTATGCGCGTTTGCTTATATGCTGTATGTGTTTTGGTTTCATGACTGTGTGGTTGTGTGCACGAGTGAATGTGCCACCTTGGTGCTCGATTAATTTTATGCCAAAATGAATTACCGACTAGATTACATCTAGTTCTTTTAGAGTTAAATTATGATACCTACGTGTGATGTTCTAAGAATTTTCGGCAATTTATGCAAGAACATCCAGGGTGCATCATGTATTGTCTGAAATGCGTTGATTTGTTAGCGTTGCTGTGCAAGTCGGTGGTAAAGACAAAAAATGCCAGCGAATTGAATTGTCTTGCACAGTGCACATTTTAAAATGTTTGTTGATTAAAAATTATTAGACTGCTTTTAAGATTTGTTCAGGGTCTGGAACATGTTAACAGCAAACATTTATAGAAAACAAAAGCTCATAATTTCAAAACTTGTTGACACACAATTTTTATAATATAATGATAATGGTACATTGAGCTTACCATGAAAGAACAAGAAATCTGTGGTTCCTATTAAAACCATTAATTGTTTCCATTTCTTTTTGTGTGAGCTTGAAGTCGAACACCTTGGGGAATATGCAACCAACAAAGAGGAAAGAAAGGTCATTAAAATATTTAAATGCCACTCATGCAGGTATGAAACCCTCTGTTGGAAAAAAAATTTCACTCTGCTTTAAAAGCTGGAGAGAAATCAACAAGTAATTATTAGTGAAAGCAGCGTGTTATTGAGCCAGCACAATATTCATAGGCACCCAGAGTTTACAGTGAAGGGCCTTAGAGATACTTTCAGGAACATTTAATGCACAGCACATTACTTTAAGAATGAAGCAAGTGCTAGATAGTGTACGGAGTAAAGACATACTGCAAACCTCCAAGTTTTCTCATGGTTACAGATCTGACATTACAGTCAAGCTTTGCTTTAATAAAGGGGACATAACATGCTAATGATTGAATTCTTAACCTACGAAATTTAAAACCTCACAATAAACAAAGCATCTTACAAATGAATATGAAGGATGCTTTTTTTTTCATAATTAATTGCAGATATTCATTGGTCATTTCATCCAACTTGGGTCTAAATCTGGTGATGTGCAACATTGCCTGCTGTGAAAATTCAAAACTCCCAGCTGTCAGCCCTCTGTATTGCAACAGAGCTATTGTACCATCCACGAACATATGATACTATACAAAGCACTCAGCATTCAAGGCTATATTCCTATAACCAGAGGCCGAGATGAAAAAGGGAGCTAGGGTAGGAAACAAGTCCAATACAAGCAAGTGGTATATTGCAACTTGTCTCCATGCATGCAGACAGAATGAAAATTTCTGAGTTACAACAATACGCATTATTATAAAAGCATACATACATTAAAGTTGGAGATGATCCTCTCTTTCGTCACACTTTTGGTATGACAATCACTCCTCTTTCGATCTGGTACCGAATCAAAACCTGGAAAAAGAAAATTCATGAGGCTGATGCTGTTTCCTGCATGGAGTACAACAACGTTCCTATCTGGTAACATTACATTATGGTCCACTGTTAAATGGTAAGAGATATTCTCTGTTTCCTCCACTTAAAAGAAGACTAAAGAGAAAAGCTTTTTTTTTTTGCATATTAGCGAACTACAATTCCACAATACTGAGAACATCACTCTCACCACGAGAAGGCGCTTGGTAAGGTAGAAAATGCATGAAAAGGAAATGCAAGTAGCAATGCCACCTTTAAATTCCTGCATCAAATGCCTAGACGTCATAGATTTTGATGGCATTTACTAGATGATATGTGGTTCCTAATCGGTAAAAATGAAGTAGTAGTGGAACCCCTTTATAAGGGCACTGATATAAGAGACTATTGTGCCTACAGTGAAATACAGGTTGATAAGAAAATGCATACCAGGTACCCTGCTTATAAGAGACAGTTGATAACAACATCATCAGCCTGACTATGCCCACAGCAGGACAAAGGCCTCTCCCATGTTCCGCTAGTCAACTCGGTCCTGCGCTGCTGCTGCCACTTTATATACGCAAACTTCCTAATCCCATCTTCCCACCTAACTTTCTGTCTCTCCTTGACTCGCTTGCCTTCTCTGGAAACCCAGTCAGTTACCATTATTGACCAACTGTTATTCTGGCTATGCGCTACATGCCCAGCCCATGTTTATTTCTTCTTCTTGATTTCATCTATGATATCTTTAACCCCGTTTTGCATGACCCGCTCTGCTCTCTTTTCTGTTGAGGTTACACCTATCATTTTTCTTCCATCACTTGTTGCGTGGTCCTCAATTTAAGCTGAATCTTCTTTGCAAGCCTCCAGGTTTCTCCTCTGTAGCTAGGTACCGGCAAGATGCAGATGTTATATCTTCCTCTTGAGGGATAGTAGCAATCTACCAGTCATGATTTGAGAATGCTTGCCGAATTTGGTCCACCCATTCTTAGGTCGCGTTCACACTGAGCATTCCAGCCGCCGAAAGTGCTCCGAATTCGGTTCCGGCGGCGAGATTCGCCGAAAGGGCCCTCTCCGCGCCGATCGCTCTCGGACCGATTTTTGCGGCGTCTGCCGCCGAATCGGTCGCCGCTTACCAATAGGAGCGCTCGTCAAGGAATTTTGAAAAATGGCGCCAAGCCCTACTCACTTGTTATGCCGCAGTGCACGTAACTGAATGTTGAAACCAACGGGTTTAACCTACTCTGTGCCTACTTCGCCTCCGTATTTCGTGAAAGAGGTGACTGAGCTTGCTGTTGGCGTGACTGAGCTTGTTGCGGTCTTGCAGAGCAAAACGAACCCACCAACGCTGCTGGCAACGGTGGTTTTTCTGCTCTTTGTGCATTACAAGACAGCCACTTGCCAGCAAAGTAAACAGTACTGTCTTTTCTTGCTTCTTGCGTACGAGAATCGTCAAGTATACACCTCTGGATAGCGTAGTAGAGTTTACGAGACCGTGACAACAACCGGGTGACAGCGCATCCATCCCGTGTGTGCCCCGTGGTAGATGGCATATTCGGCGGCGCGGGGCGCATCCAGTGCGAACGACACTGCGTTTCGGCGGCAGGGGAATTTCGGTCGCTGTAAAGCGGATGTTTCAGTGTGAACTAGGCATTATTCTTCTAGTTACTTCCATCTTGTTTCAGCTCCGAGGTTATTACTGTCCTAAGTGACATAGCCTTTTACAACTTTAAGTGCACTGCTACCTATCTTGAAGTGCTGTTCCATCCATGGTTGTAGTACATTACTTTCATTTTCTGCAGATTGAAGACCTACCTTCTGCTCTCCCTGTCTAATTCAGCAATCATGAATTGCAATTCATCCCCTGAGTTACTCTGCAATGCAATTTCATTCGCGAAGCGTAGGTTGCTAAGGTACTCTCCATCAACTTTTATCCATAAGTCTTTCCAATCTAGGCCTCTGAAAACTCCTGTAAGCATGCAGTAAATAGCATTGGGGAGATTGTATACTGCCTCACACCCTTCTTGATTGGTATTTTGTTGCTATCTTTATGGAGCCATGCTGGCAGTTGATCCCCTGTAGATTTCTTCCAGGATGTTTTATATGCTTTATCGACGTTCTATTTGCAGTGCCTGCATGACTGCTAATATTTCTACTGAATCATATGCCTTGTCATAAACTATGAAGGCTATGTATCGTGGTTGGCTGTACTACTTGATTAATAGTATGAATGTGGCCGATTGTTGAGGAGCCTGTCGAGATCCGGCTTGTTCCTTTGGCTGATTGAATTATAATGTCTTAATTCTGTTAGCAATAACCTTTGTAAATAGCTTGTGTACGATGGAGAGCAAGCTGATTGGCCTGTAATTCTTCAAGTCCTTGTCATCTCCTTTATTATGTATTAAGATGATGTTAGTATTCTTCCAAGATTCTGCTACTCTTCCCGCCAGGAGACACCTTGTAAACAGAGTGGCTAGTTTTCTAACACAATCTGTCCTCCATTTTTCAGTAGATCTGATGTTACCTGATCCTCACCAGCAGCTTTGCTCTTTGCATTCCCTCCAAGGCTTTCCTGACTTCTTACATCATTACTGGTAGGATGTCATCTGGATTACTGCTAATTCTTACATTATGGTCGCGGTTGTCCCGGCTACTGTTAAGATCTCTGTAAAACTCCTCTGCTATTTTAACTATCCTATTCGTATTGGTAGTCTCTTAATGCATGCGTCTGGTTTCTGCCTATTCCAAGTTTCCTCTTCGCGGCTCTGAACCTTTTTTTAGAGCGTGTTCAATTCTCTCCATGTTTTACCTTCTTACATCGGATACCTTACGCTTATAATTCAACTTCTACTGCGCTTCCAGTTCCATTTTGTCGGTTGTGTTTGAAGCTTTCATGCTTTGACTTTTTTTAACGAGGTTCTTCGTTTCCTGGGACAGCTTGCTAGTGTCCTGTCTAACTACCATACCTCCAACCTCCACTGCACACTCCGTAATGATACTCGTCAGATTATCATTCATTGCATCAACACTAAGGCTGGTTTCCTCAACAAGAGCTGAGTATCTGTCCTGACGCAAGACTGAATTCCTGTACTTTCCCTCTCAGTGCTAGCTGATCGATTGGCTACTTGCGTATCAGTTTCTGTTGTTCCTTCTTCAAGTCTAGGCAAATTCAAGACCTTCATTACCATTCTGCCACTGAATTGTACCATACAGCCACTGAATTGTACCTTACCGAGCACTTCACATCTTGGATAATGCCTGGTTGTGCAATCAGCATAAAGTCTATTTCGTTCTTACTTTCGCCATTAGGGCTCCTCTATGTCCACTTCTTGTTCACCGTTTTCGGTAAAAGGTATTCAAGATCCGTAAATTATTGCGTTCTGTGAATTCAACTAATAACTACCCTGGCAATTCTAGTACCGATGCCAATCTCCTACTGCCTGGTTTCCAGCCTGCTTCTTCCCTACTTTAGCATTGAAGTCGCCCATCGGTATAATATACTGTGTTTTTACTTTACTCATTGCCGATTCCATCGTCATAGATGCTTTCAATTAGTGCATAATCATGGATGGATATAGATGCATAAGCCTTCATAGCTTCATCTTGTATATCTTAATGAGTTTAATATGATACCCTTTCATTAAGGCTGTAGTATTCCTCTATGTTACAAGCTATATTTTTGTGGATAAAAAACCCACACCCCAGTTCTATTCTGTCAGCCAAGCCACGATAGCAAAGAATGTGCCGATGCTGTAGCACTGTATAGTAGAGCACCGCACGGGTTGATATTTTTGGCTTGGGCCCAGCCTGGCCTGGCCTGAAAAATCAACGTTCCGGCCCGCCCAAGCCCGGCCCGGTGTTTTTAAATACGGCCCGTACCAGCCCGTACCAGGCCCGGGCCGAAAAGTTTGGGCCCGACCCGGCCTGTTTCAGCTAAATATGCCTTCGGCATAAACGAAGCACTGTCCCATCTTCGCTGATTGTGTAGACACCTGCAGCACACAAGGTAACTTCTAAAGAGTGTTTTGAGAACTTCTTTTAGGGCCACAACTAACTTTTCCTGCGTATATTTACGGTTAATTGCACCTGTAACACTTTCGGGAAATAATTTTAGAGCAATATGAAATAAAATCCGAGTCATAGCTGGCTTTTCATCTATGCTAACCCCGCTACCTATTTTTGCATCTCAAAAAAAGACTGCAAAATAGAATACCCACATAAAGTGGAAAAAATGCCAGACATTTCTACTCACACTCTACATAAAGTGCTTATGAGCTATGGCTGTTGAGTTAATATAGCAAGTCTCCTGCAAATTTCGTTTATTGCTCGGAGGAATGAAAAAAAAAAAAAATTGCCTCCAGCATCTCCCCACGAAAGGAACCCAAGTACAGTAAAACCTCGTTAATTCGAAGTCACTGGGGCTGCGAGAAAGCTTTGAATAAGCGGGTTTTCGAATTAACAGAACATACAAAAAGTGGGATGCAAGGAACTTGTAACTATTCAAACTATTCAGTGTCGTCGTGAGCTGTGCCGGCTAGCTTGTGGCTCCGAAGGGTATGTTTTCCAGCAATACCTGGTCTCTATTTTGACAAGAACATGGAGGAAGGTGGGCTCGCTGCTGCTACTGAAAAAAAACAAAAAAAAAACGCAGTCGTGATCGATTGAAATGTGCGCCTGCAGAAACAAGACATCTTCACTGCAAAACAGTAGTGACACGCGGGCAGCATGTCACCTGCTCCTCGCTTCGTCAGCACGCCATATGATGCGACCATTCGCACATTCTTTCCATTTAATTATAAATTTATTAATGACCAGTATGACAAAGATCACGATGTATTTTGGCAGGAAAAAAAATTATCTTTGAAACTTTTGAACTTAGTTTTCGAAGTAGGTGGCTGGCAAGAACTGCGCCCGCAGTGCAAAGACGCGAATTGCTGGAGCAACCGGCAATCGGAGGTTCGAATACATCGCGATGAGCGCTAAGCTTTTTTTTAATTTCTTTACAATCCCAGAAAGAATAGGTAAA